CAATTCTTCCTGGTAGAGCAGTGTCTTCCTCCCCTCCATCCAGTTGGAATCTTACCTGTATAGTGTCTCACTGTTTTTAGTATGCACTTGGATTCTCCCCAGAGAGCTTTTAGCTGGAGTATTTAAACTCACATGAAGGGATTTTCCAGCAATCAGGTTATTAGGGGGACAGGACAATATTCCTTAACTTAGAACATGCAGACAATTGCCTGCTACATCTACTGCAACCTTTAGTAATAAAGACATGGAATTTGTCCTTTTTAAATGGAACAGAGCCAAAGCCTCTGCATAATTGCAGAATTATTAATAGAGCTCAGAAATCAAGAAATCAAATAAAATATTGCTAAAACCTTCCAGACGAAATATGTAGCTCTGGATTCATGTTAATTGGTCAACGTTTTGTTCACAGGAGAAAACATTGGATATGAGATCCAATATTGTGTCTCAAACAGACACAAGAGTTCTTGTTGCCGTGGAGACAGCATAAAGAAGAGAAGGCCATGTCACTATCCTTGAGGACTTCAGATACAGAAGAAATGAACTAGAATGCAAAACCCTGCTCACAACTGTCTGCCCCAAGTCCATATGCATATAAGGCAAACCCTGTACAAATGAAGGCAAATCTGGGCAAATTTCTCAGGATACATGCAAGATATGAAGACAGCTGGCTACTTATAGACATGGGCTTTCCTTTAAAAGTCACCTTCTTTCTCTAGATATGGTGGTATATATTCTTTCCAAAGTAATGTGGGTATTGAATAAAAAGTTCAATAAATATAGTTCAATTAGCATGTTGGTATTAAAACCAAGAACAGCTACATCATTCATTTATACATTCATTCATCTATCTTTTATTAATTCATTCTCATTTCAATTAATTTTTGTTAGGGGCTTAGCATGTGTCAGGCTTTGATAACAATGATAAATAATATATGGTTCCTACCCTTAAAGATTCTAAAATCAAGTTTAACAATGAGTGGAGGCCCTAATTGCATCATAGGAGAGCATACACTTGACCAGTTTAGTTAGATGCTTTGTAATTGGACTTATTGTGGGTGGTCTAGGTGTTTCTAAAAAAAGAAAAGTCTATGTATACTTGTGGGAAAAACAAACACTCTTATGGATGAGGTTAGGACCTTCAGAAATCTTAATTTTTGTTATCCTTTATAATAAGTGGAGACATAGTGAACAGTGAAATTCAAGGACACCGTCCAAAGTGCTATCCATAACTGTGTGACTCTCCCTAACTGGAGGAGTGAGAAAAAAGTCTAGACACTTGCTGGAATGGAACAATTGACTGGGTTTTGGTAAGATTAGATTTCAGTATTGACCTTAACACTGTTACTAAATGAATCAGCCATCTTAAACCTCTCTGGTCCTCAGGTTTCTTCATTCCTTAAATGTGAAGAAAGTCTAGACACTTGCTGGAATGGAACAATTGACTGGGTTTTGGTAAGATTAGATTTCAGTATTGACCTTAACACTGTTACAAAATGAATCAGCCATCTTAAACCTCTCTGGTCCTCAGGTTTCTTCATTCCTTAAATGTGAAGATAGAACTAAGCAGGATCTAAAGAATTTCAAAATACATTAGAATAGCACCCCAAGAATTACATCACAGTAGGATGAAATCAAAAGGCCACAAGCAGAGCTCTTTCTGCGTATACATGCTGCTCTCTGTAAGGCAGGCCCTCTCATTTCTTCATGAAATGCATTTTATGTGCACTTAGCCTGGTCACATCTCATCATGCAGTCAACTTGATCATTCAGCAAACATGGAGTGTCCACTCTGTCCCAGGCCTTGTGCTGGGAACTGCTTTCCTGAGTCTCACATCAGCTAGCTCAGCCTCGTTCTCCTAAAATCACCTTCTTTCTGGCCAGGGTAACAGGTTACTTTGATTACAAGAAGACCTTTGAGGATAGTTCAACTCTACAAGCAATGAAATGAACTTCTCTCAATAAGACATTTGACCTATGTCTTATCCTGTTCAGGCTGCTGATAACAAAATACCATCAACTGGGTGGCTTATAAATAACAGAATTTTTTTTCTCACAGTTCTGGAGGCTGGGAAGTCCAAGGTAAACATGCTGGCAGATTTGGGGTCTGGTAAGGACTCACTTCCAGGTTCATAGACTGCCATCTTCTTGCTGTGTCCTCACGTGGTAGAAAAGGCCAGGGGGCTCTCTGGAGGGCACTAATCTCATTCATGAAGGATTCACCCTCATGACCTAATTATCTCCCAAAGACCCCTAATACCAGCATGTTAGTAGTTAGGATTTCAATACACTGCATGAATTTTGTGAAGACACAATCATTCAGACTACAGCACTTTAGAAACAGTTTAGATAAAAAGAGAGTGGTTGTGTAACTTGAGGAAGAAATTGAGATTATATTGAAGATGAAACCTTACCTTCACTTTTGTGAATTAGATTAAGTGTCACGACACCACACATGCTGCAAAGAACTCTTTCTGAAAACAATCTTTGAGGTGACTGTCTAAATCTTCCCAATGTGTGCCTTCTTGGGATATCCAGTGTTATGGATTAAATTGTGTCCCCCCCAAATTTATATGTTGAAACCCCAACCTCCAAACCTCAGAATTGACCTTATTTGGAAATAGGGTGGTTGCAGGTGTAACTAGTTATGATGAGGCCATTCGGGTGGACCCTAATCCAATATGACTGTTGTTTTCACAAAAAGGGAAAAATTTGGACACAGAGAGACACACACTTGGAGAAAACTATGTGAAGATGAAGGCAGGGATGTGGAAGCCAAATAATGACAAAAGTTGCCAGCACACCACCAGGCTCTGGGAGAAATGCATGGGGCAGATTTTCTCTCACAGTGTTCGGAAGGTACAACCTGGTGACACCTTGATCTTGGGCTTCTAGCCTCCAGAACTCTCACACAATAAATTTCTGTTGTATAAGCAACCTAGTCTGTGAGACTTTGTTATGGCAGCTGTAGCAAACTAATATACTCCAGTTAAGAAAGCTTCATACTCATTGATTCACTCTTCATTGTAACAGCCATTGACTGAAAATGTTGCAGTGAGTTTTCCAAAAGAATCGTGTATGTAAGGGACTTAGGACAGGCTGGGACACAATTTCTGGTATTTATTACCTTATTCCCAGGAGTTAATGCTCAGTATAAGGGAAATAAACAAACAAACAAAAATCAACTTATATGCATGTCATGATTAATTATAGGTGTCAGCTTGATTTGATTAAGGAATACTGAGAAACCTGGTAAAGCTATATTTTTAGGTGTGTCCATGAGGGTGTTTCCTGCAGAGGTTAGTATGACAGCCTCAGTCGACTGGGTGGGAAAGTTTCCTTCTCAATATGGGCAGGAACTATCCAATCCACTGGGGGCCCTGAGAGAACAAAAAGGGAGAAAAGAGGTGAATCTCTCCATCCACTGGAGCTGGGATACACTTTACTCTCCTACCTGTGGGCATCAGAGCTCCAGATTTTTATGCTTTTGGGTTCCAGGACTTAAACCAATGGCACCATCAGCTTCCCTGGTTCTGAGACTTCGGACTTGCACTGAGCTATGCTACCGGCATCCAGTTTGCAGACGGCCTATCATAGCACTTCTCTTCACAATCGTGTGAGTTAATTCCCCTAATAAATCTCTTCTCATATGTTTTTAAACATATCCTATTGGTTCTGTGTCTCTGGAGAACCCTGACAAATACAACGTACATTCAGGAAATAAAAAGACATCATAATATAGTTTTTCCACTTAAAACTTATATTGACAGGATCTTAAAAAAGGTATTAAAAACACACTTGTATGACCTCCTGAGAGAGAGCAACAGAGGAAATATTGAGACGATAAAAGATAATAAGGAAGAATTCAGCAGTGTCTATAATGCCACATCACAATTCACTCAGGAAGAGAAAGTATAGCACATATAATGCTCAGTAGATAAAGAGAAATGATATTTATAATTTTTTTTCTTGCTTGTGTTAGAAATGCAAGGGTCAGCTGAAGGTGGCCAAAGAGACAAGGAAATACATTTGAGGCCAATTAATGTGATTCTTACCAAGTTCACTATCTAGTCTTTCAGAAAATCAAGCTAGCAAAATTCTCTTTGATCTACAACCGGTTTTTACTGATTTAGAGGTCAGTGATTTTCACAAACAGTTTGAAAAAACAGTTTTAGGAATATGGGGAAATTTGAGTAGTTTTCTGACAAAAAATTGTGGAGCTTTCAATGATGTTTTCTTTTTCCCAGTTTGAGTCAATTACTTGCCATCTCCTCCCTGCTATCGCTGTTGATCTTTCATGTAGTACTTGGGGACTGTGTGGTCTCTTTTCCTCGCCCTTTCACTTTCTCGAGTGAGGCAGTGAGTGGACTGGAAAAGACAGGTGAAACATGCTGCATTTATTTTAGGCCCCTCAATTATTTTTATATTTTTAAGTAAAACATCACTATGTTTTTCTCTTCTGCCTTTCCCGTCTATGACGTTTTCCTTAGCCAATCAATGGCATCCATTTGTCCGAGGGGGTGAGGTGGGCACTAGAGTGGGAATAAGTTGTTACAATGAGATTGAAAACCTTTCAGAACAGGGATTTATAATACACTGATAGACTTGGAAGCCTTTTTATATATGGAGAAAATCTTCTGTATTCTATTAGCACGGAGCTGTGTAACTCAGCACACTGATGGGTTAAAAATGGGTTACAGGCATGGGAAATGTTGGTTTGCTCAGAATTTCTGGCAGTCAGATTGCACAGGAATTAAAGTAAGGCCTGGGTTCTGGAATGCAGATGGGAAAAGCATGGGAGGGTTAGAATCTCAGATCCTAACCAAGGCAAGAAAACATGGCCCAAGAGTTACATAAACTGCTAGATTTGTTCCAGCAGGTTGAACAGCAACCTGGAGAACAAAGAACATCACCATGGAAACCAAAGGAATCAGAGCACAACACTTGGATTCAAGGTTTACTTCACTCTTTCTCTATGAGGTCACATAAGCCACAAGCCTCCACCAGGAGAGAAGGAGGCATGAAATCTGAGAGATTGTGTATTTTACCTAAAAGCACATTTAAATTTCTGCATCGGGCTAGTATTTCCAGATTGGGTGGATTAAATGCAGTCGTTTTCCTCTACTGTCTGAGGTTTCAGGACTTTTGAGGAAGATAAGAACAGTCTAAAAGAATGGAGATATATTCTCTTTGCACATCCATTTTATTCTGTGAGTATATTTGCTACTCTGCTTAATTGTATTGGCTTTTGCACAGTTTGCTGCCTGTTTGATAATCAGGATGAGATGTATCAGGAGGTAGATAGCAGTGAACAACGTGAAGGGAATATGAGCAGAAACATCCTTTTTCCTGAATAGTCTCTCCCACGGACCAGCTCTCTTCTGTTATTGAAAGAATTGAGAATCTATGGGTGGTTCTACAGTCAAGAGGGGCTATGGACTTCTGCAAAAAATCTTTTCTCAGTTTTAATATAACTATGGACACTGATTTTCCTGCCCTGGAGGCTACCAGTTAGACTGGAGACAATGAATTTGCTCAAAGAAACTTGATGGTAGAGTAGGTGGTACTGTGCTTCTCAAACGATAACATAGAAACTTAAAAAAAATTTTTTAAATGTGTTATAAATACTTTTATAAAATACAATAAAAATGATTCACTGAGGTTCGGAAAGGCTTAGTGTGTTGCTGAAGATCATGGAGCATTGGTGGTAGCAATTGTAAGTGGCAAAGCTGGGACACTAATTCAAATATTCTGCTCTTAATCTCATTGTGCTTGCATTTGTCTTTTTCTTGATGTCATAATTATTGCAACAAAGACAGTTTTGCTACTCTCTTCTGTTCTTAGGAGAAAGGGAAGTGTTTGAGGAATATCAGTTAAGCATTCGAAGCCAAATCTTGTGTTGGATACAGTACAACCATTAAAGTGATGCAGTTCTGTCTACTCAGAGTTTAGGTAGCAGGGGGTAATGACTCGGGAATGAGCTTTGCATTCAGACCATGATACATTCAAGAAAAGTGCTAAAACAAACAAACAAAAACAAACAAACATACAAAAAACCTACCAAGGATCCTTGTTTTATAAATGACACTACTGCATTAAAAATTCTCTTAAGCTAAAAAATTGGTGGTAGAAAATTAGAATTCTTAAGTATGTTAATTTTACACTTCTGAAAGGTAGAAAACATTTATGTTTCAATGTAAAGATTGGAGATGTAAAAAGATGTTTAATGGAAAATGTTAATAGCAATAAAAACAGGTGGTATGTAAATTGTTAACAATAACCTCTGTAATTTGATGTCTAATTTTCAGGTGAAAGGAAAATAGAATCGTTAGTAGAGAACATAGTGCATTTGTTAGCTTAACTGCATGGGGCTCCATCAGCTATCGACGAAAGGACTGGCTTCTATTTTATCTTTAGTTTTAAGAAAGGCTTTTTTTATTTCCCAGCTAGGCTTTGAATGAAGTGTTAATAGGATAACTATTTCACACTGGATAACTACAAATTGCTTATTTAGGTGTTTCTATGGTTCAGTAACTGAGCATGGATGAATATGTAATTAGCTTTTAAACTCTACCCTAATAGGCAATATGCAATAGCTGTTCTACAGAACTTCATTTAACATGTCCTGTAGTATTTTTTAGAACATTAAATAGAATGTGTTACCTGGTATTTGCCTCAGTGAAGTGAATTTATCCCCTCCATGAACATAATCTATACAGAAGTGTGAGAAGAACCCTTTAGTGTAGTGGTATAAATGCAACGTCTGGTTTTTTAGAACATTAAATAGAATGTGTTACCTGGTATTTGCCTCAGTGAAGTGAATTTATCCCCTCCATGCACATAATCTATACAGAAGTGTGAGAAGAACCCTTTAGTGTAGTGGTATAAATGCAACGTCTGTTATAGGGACCAAAACACACAGAACACCCAGGAAATTGAGAGGCAACAGCCACATAACTGGAAAGTCTTCAGAGAATTCAGCTTCATTTGAAGACACAATATAAAGCACCAAAATATAAAATGCATATTGTTTTAGAAATAATATTGCACTTAAACAGGTATTGGCCAGTATGACTGGAGAAAGAAAGCACAGGGACTTCCTGAAGTTCAGTTGGACAATTTAAAAAAATTTACCTAAAATTCTATCTGGAAATGATCAGGATGTTTCTGAAGTTGTCCCAACTTTTGTGACGTTGTCACAAAATTCTTCCTCCTGAGAGAATCCTTGTGGGTGATGAGATTGCAAGACGAAATATGGAAAGGAAAAAACATAAAATAAAGTTGTTTTCTGAAATACTATAAATACAATAATAAGAAAACTGAAGATTTTCAACTGATTTCTTAATTGAGTACTCAGTTTACTAGTAAAGTGATGACTTTCCAGCCTGTTGATAGATATTTTACTGGATGCAGGAAGAAGATTTCATGATCATTTTATAGAGATCAATAATTCCTGTAAACCTGTGGATCTGATTTGTGGCAGCTTGGCATGAGGTAAGCAGGTTCAGGCAGCTGTTTTAAATCTCTGCTTATTCATAATTAGTAATAGAAAGTGATCAATGAAAGATTATTTCCAAATACTAAATTCAATAGACATGAAAGTGAAATAAAAAAGCTTTCTTTCATTTCTATTTGTTTATTCAGTCATATTCCAAGTTCACACAACTGTGCATGAAACACTTTTTAATTTTTTAAATTTATTTTTTTAATTGAAACATATTGATTGTACATATTTATTGGGAACAGGGTTATATTTCAATTTATTTACACATCTATTTATACAATAGATAGTGATCAAATCAGGGTAGTTAGCAAATTAGTCATCATAAAAATTTATCATTTCTTTCTAAAGAGAACATTTAATCTCCTGTAATATAGCCATTTGAGAACATACAATGAATCAGTTAATTATAGATGTCGCACACTATTGTATACCACTAGAACTTGTTTTTCCTATCTAACTGTAATTTTATGTCCATTAACCAACCCCTCAATATCTCCCTCCACCCTCGCCTTCTCATCCTTTAGTAACCACAATTCTACTCTCCACTTCTAAGTTCAACTTATTTGTTTATTTTTAGCTCCCATATATAAGTGAGAACATACAGTATGTATCTTTCTGTGCCTGACTTATTTTACTAAACATAATGCCTTCCAGGCTTGTCCATGTTGCCACAAGTGACAGGATTTCATTCTTTTTCATGGCTGAATGGTATTCCATTGTGCATGTATACCACATTTTCTTTATCCGTTCATCTGTCAATGGGCATCTAGGTTGATTCTATGTCTTGGCTATTGTCAATAGTGCTGCAATAAGCATAGGGTTACAGATATCTTTTTGGTATGTTAACTTTCCTTTGGATAAATACCCAGCAGTGAGATTCCTGGGTCATATGATAGCTCTATTTTTAGTTTTTTGAGGTACCGCCATACAGTTTTCCATAATGGCTGTACTAACTTACATTCCCATCAATAGTGTGTAAGAGCTCCCCTTTCTCTGCATCCACGTCAGCATTTACTTTTTGTCTTTTTGATAGTAGCCATTCTGACTAGGATGAATGGGGTTGGGAGATTTAATAAAAAGGATTATTGAAGATGGGAAAGACATAAAAGGTAATGAGTAAAAATAAGAGGAATTAAGTCAGAATATTCAGGAGAAACTCTAAGGGTTTCCAGACTTTATAGAGAGAGACGAAACAAGAAGAGAAGGCTGAACTATTCAATGGCATTTTGGCCTTAAATGATTTAAGAGTAATTGCCAACTATGGCTGAAACCAGAATGTTCCACTTCCATTTTGCTGGTGGAGGATTTCTCCCTATGCTAATGTCATATGCATCAATTTTTACAAAATGCAAGCAATAATGAGAGGCAGAGTGGTGACTCTTGAGAGAACGTTTTGGGGGAAGAATTTAGGAGGAGTTTGTGATACAAGTCAATAACTAGCTCATCGGCATTATTTAAAAACTGTTAAGGAGCTTTTATTTAAAATCATTATTTTTTATTTTAATTTACTTCTCAATATACATTGTAGTTGATTTTCATGCCCCTTTACCCATTCCTCTCCACCCCCTTCCCTCCCCC